AAAACTGGCTCGCCACTGGGCCAACAACGTCTTGCACCATCGGGGCGCCCTCCAGGCTGTCAGGAAGGCTCACAGAGGCTACATTGGAGAAGCTGGCAAGGTTGTGAACACCGGGCTCTGTATCGTACACAGCCCGGCCGTGCAGCAGCTCGAGAAAAGCCGCTCGCTGGCCAGGGATCGCGACGTTGGAATCTAAAAGGGATGAAATCCTATCCCGAACGCGCGCATGCACGCTGGCCTGGTCGGGGGTGAGTGGGGGCCCATAGAAAGCCGTGTGTCGGTCGCCCGCCATCCAATTCAAAGCCTTCAAAGTCGCTTGACGTCCGCATTCAGACGCCGCAAGTGGCCCCGCAAGCCAGGCGCTTGCCGGCCACGTCCACTCGGCATGGGAGGCAAAGGAGAGAGGGGAATAGGAAAAAGAGACAGCATGCTAACGCGCTTCGCTCGCTCGTCCGATGCCGCCTGGTCCAGGCCTCCAGCGTCGAGCCGACCAGCCTCGCCGCCGCCCGGACGCATCGCCCCTGCGGCACCAGGGGTACCTTCCCGCCACCCTCCTGGCCAATTCCCTGAGAAGGCTGGCCGCGGCCTCCTGTCTTGCCACCCTTTGGCGTTCCCTTTGGGTCCACGGGCCCGCCAGGCGGCGGCGCCTCAGGTCCCCCCGGCGGCTGCAGCCCTCGCGTGCGCACACGCATGCTCTCGATCTCCATCTCCTCCTTTGCGCGGCGGTGCGCGTGGGGGCGCAGCTCGGCAGGGGCCACAGACGATGCCGAAGCCACGGGAGTGAAGTGCTTCACGCCCTCCCAGTTCGCGCGGCCAGGCACGCCCGTCGAGTAGGCCTCGATGATCTGGCACACGCGCCGCGACACCGACTCGATGCATGCAAGAGATGGGCCGTTCAACTGGTCGTAGCAGCCACTGAGGTACAGGATGTCCGTCAAGAGCTTCATCTCAATCCCTGTCTTCTCCTGCGAGCTGACTCCCGCCTCGCGGCACCAGTTCGCGTGCCACAATCTCGGATCACCGCCCTGCCTCTGGGTGTTCTTGAACAAGGAGAGCGTGGTGGCAGGTCCCTCATGATGCTCGTCCCAATCGCCAAAATGGCTGTAGGAGATCTCTGCGCATACGGACCTCCACTCCTTGTATCGTTCTCCGTGCTCGTCGTAGTCAACCGTCAGCGTCCTCGCATCCTCCACCGCGGGAGGAGTCTTGGCGCCGCCGTCCAGCGCCTCGTGAAGCCGATCCTCCAGACGCCCTGCGACCGGAGGGGCCTCCTCCTCGAGGATCTTCGCGATCCCCGTCCGAGCTGAAGCCAGGAACGTGTCGACGTCCACCAGCGCCACCTGCTTCACAGGCACGGGCTTCTTACGTGTGTCCAGAGCCATCGCATACTCTCCCGCTCGGGGCGCATCCGGGCCAGGATACCGCTCCCTGCCTAAGTCGGGGTGATGCGGATCCACAATCAGCCAGGTCGTATCCGGCGGCAGCTCGGGCGGGGGCAGCGCGGCAGGTGCGGCTGAGTCATCATGTGCAGGCCGATCGGAGTCCGCCAGTGGGACCAGCTCGGAGCCCTCCGAGCCCATCAACGGCTCATACCTCACGTCCGTGCCGTCCCACAGCATGACGGCGGCAGGGGCCTCTGGGGCCCTGCGGGTGATGGCGTAGCTCTCTGCCTCAGCCATCTTGACCTGCTCCACCAGCTCCGAGGGCTCCAGCGGCTCCCTGAAGCGGTAGAAGCGCCCTCGCATGCGGTCGAGGGTGGGCTTTCCGGGGTCCACCAACACCGCCTGAACCGCTCCGCTGGTACCTCGACGGCACCTCAGGTTCTCGGGATACCTGTCGCCATCGGGGGTCACGATGATCCATACCCCTGGTCGCACATACGCCAGGGCCAGCCGCTCGTGCCAGTACGTGTCGTCCGAATACCACAAAGCCAGGCGACGGCCCGGCCGCACCTCACTCATAAAGGCCGGCTCCGCCACGACGCTCCCATCCGAGGTGAAGAGCTGGTGTCTCCTCGCGGACAGCATCTCGGCGATGGGAGAGAATGGCCCTGACCCGCTCGAAGCTGTCCTTCAGCAGCCCACCGACCAGCACCCAGATCAACGGCCAGAAGCTGATCACCGCGTCAGCCGTCGCCTGCAGCAAGGCGACGTGCTCGTCCAGCCGCGCCGCCGCGGCGCGAACCTCCGCCAACTCCTCCGGCAACTCGGAGAAGAGAGCCGCAGGCCCCGCGGGCGGATCCTCGCCTGGCGGCCCCGCACCCGACGCAGGAGGGCAATGGGCCGCCGGGCACACCGGCCGCGGGCAGACCGGCGGGGGCGCAGCTCGCCAGGCACCGAGCGCCACCAGCCCGTGGATGGCCGCTGCCGCGAGTGTCGAAAGGGGGCCTCGCGCAAGGCCCATGCGAGCGAACCTTTCAAGACTTGAGCAATAATATAATGAGATATTCAAGGATAGAGAAGTTGCTCTCGTTGGGCCCCTCAATCCCGTGCCCGTCTGCAGGCATACTTCGCACTAACAGGATGGATGAATTTGAAGGAAGGGGCGCTACGGGAGGAAGAGGAGGAGGAGGACGAGGAGGAGGAGGATGAGGAGGAGAAGGAGGAAGCGGAAGAGGAGGAGGAGGAGGAGGAGCAGGAGGAGCAGTGCAAACCTAAGACGCATAAGCGATGTTGCAACAAGTCCTCCATCCACGTTCCCTCTTCCTAGCCGCCCCCCCAAAGAAGATACATGCATGGTAATCCTCAGTCGTGCCAAAACCATTCCTGGGACTTCAGCGTCGCGAGTTCAAGTGAGGGTTGCGTCCTGACAACCCTAAACCGTGCCAGAAACAGCATTCCTGGGACTTCAACACCGCGAATCACACATGCCTGTCGCTTTCGGACAATCCTCAATCTGGCCAGAAAACTATTCCTTGGACGTCGAATCCTTGAATTTGTTGCTTAAGACGAGTGTGCGCGGCGCTTAGGCCAAATTAACTTTTGAAGAATAATCGCCCTCCATCCGTGAAGCTGCTGCAAACTTTTGAAAGCATGTGCGCGGCGCTAAAGCGAGAACAACCTTTTGAAAACGGCCCGCCCTCCATCCGCGAAGCTGTTGCACGTTTTCAACATGAATGCGCGCGGCGCTGAAGCGAGAAATGCATTTTGCAACTGGCCCGCCCCTTATCCGTGAAACTGTTGCAGACTTCAAGCTTCAGGATCGTAACTTGTGAAGAAGTCTCAAGCGAAACGCCCGGCCCGCCCTACGGACACGTCGGGGGGTGCGACAGAGAATAATTACTCATAAAGGAAAGGAATGGAGGAGGAGGAGGAGGAGGAGGAGGAGGAGGAGGAGGAGGAGGAGGAGGAGGAGGAGGAGGAGGAGGAGAAAAAGGAGGATGAGAAAAAGGAGGAGGAAAGGATGAAGGAAGGGCCGTCAGAAAACGGCTCGGGATGAGAAAGCACCCCTGAGGAATGGGCCGAGATCTCTGGGGGGCACGCCGCTTGAAAAGTGCCACATCGGAGGAGAGGATTAGATGAGGTCGAGGATGCGCTGAAGAATCGCCCCACTCCTCTCGGATGTCTCCAAGCGCGAGGACAACCAGACCCGGGGGCCTATCTCCTCGGACATCGGATCTGCCAACTCTTGGTTATCTGCTTGGGCGCGATTCTCTTCGCGCTTCCGCGCCACCCCCACCGCCCTGGATACCCAGAATCTCGACGTCGCATTTTTTATTCACGTCGCTGGCTCCTAGATGTCTCGACCTCCTCCGTGGGGCCACTCTTTGTCATCCCGAGTCGTTTCTCGACGGCGCCAGGACCCAACAAGGGCCACCCCCAGAAGTTGAAGACTGCCAACAACCTTCCGTCGTGTTTTCTTCACGACGCGAACGATGAAGGAACAACGCGCGCACTCATACCTATCGGGAGGAGGGAGGGGAAAGGCAAAGAGATGAAGGTGCTACAGGTAAATACGGGTGCGTGTTGTCGGACCCCGAGAGGCGCTCCCATTCGAACGGGGGCCCCCATCCGACACCACACAGCCGTAGCCCCCCCACGGGATTCCGTCTCGAGAAACCGAGGGGTCGCACAGGTGTGGGTGCCAGCTGTCTGACCGAGCGCGAGAGGGGTGGAGGGAGCGGCAGAAGCAGAAGAACGGAGGAGGAGGCAAGAGGTGGAGGATCGGATCGGATCGGCTGTCCGCGGAAGGGCCCGTCAAGGGGCCATCAGCCAGGGGGTGCAGCACTAATTAGCACCTACAGCCCAGGAGATGGAGGAAGGAGGGAGGAGCAGGAGGAGGAGGAGGAGGAGGAGGGAGGAGGAGGAGGAGGAGGAGGAGGAGGAGGAGGAGGGAGGAAGGAGGGTGGAGTGAGGAGGGGGGGAGCAGCAAGAGCAGCAGGAGGAGCTCGAGGGGGTGGGTGGGTGGAGGGGTACGGAGACCCCCGTCCGCGTGGCCGGGCCGCGCGGGCGGGGACGCCAGGGGAGCTTCGGGCCTCCCCCTGATCCAGAGCCAGACCGCCATCAGAAGACTCGTCGTCGTCGTCGTCGTCGTCGTCGTCGTCGTCGTCGTCGCTGTCGCCGTCGTCGTCGTCGTCGTCGTCGTCGTCGTCGTCGTCGTCGTCGTCGTCGTCGTCGTCGTCGTCGTCGTCGTCGTCGTCCTCGTCGTCGTCGTCGTCGTCGTCGTCGTCGTCGTCGTCGTCACTGTCGCCGCCGTCGCCGTCGTTGTCGTCGTCCTCCTCGTCCTCGTCGCCGCCATCGTCATAGTTCTCCTATTTTCTGGCAAGACTGAGCCGTCTCGTCCTTCTCCTCCTTTTCCCAACCGCTCCCTTGCGGGCGCGCAGGAGAAAAGCGGAACTGTGCGCGTGGAAATACCGTGGGAAAGAGCACGAGCCGTCAAGGACATGCCACCTCAAAGTTTATCAACATCCATTAAATATTTGCTGGCTGACAAAGGGTTCATGAGATGGTAACCAAGCGAATGGCGGGACGCCAGAGCTGGCAATCAGAAACGAACCGCGCCTCCGAAACTCTCGCCTCGCAACTTGAGGATGAAATCGTCCAAAACCGGCACCTTGATGCCATAGTAGCGGCAGTAGCCGATCCCGCCCGCGAGCGCAAAGAAAAATATGTTCGCGAAAGTACCATCCAGCCAGCCGCTGCCCGACGAAGACTTGGACTTCTTCGACGACTTCTTGGGCGAGGGAGGTACCGACGTGCAGACACCGGAGGTCGGATGGGGGCAGAGCCCGGGGGTACTGGAATCATACGGACTTGAATGTGCCCTGAGCGAGCCGCAATTGTCTCAGGGGGAGATGCAGAAAACACTGCGAGGCAACGAAACATTTGAAATAAGCGGCGGAACGGAAGGCGTAGCGGACGCCCTGCTGAAAACTTGTAACAATGACGCAGATGGAGGGCCGGTGGTGTTCAAAATGTGGCTCTCGCCTTAGCGCCGCGCAAATTCGTCTCGTTAGGATGCCATAACTTCGAAGATGGAGGGCTGACCGCTTTTCGTGTTAACCAGCGTTGGCCCCAAACAGTGCGTTATAGCACTTTGGAGGTGGAAGATCTGTGGTGAAAGCTATGTCGTGTAAACTATGTGGTGTCAACTATGTAGGTGCACTCTATGCCGTGTAAGCTATGCCGTGCAAGCTATGTGGCGCGAGTTATGGTTGTGAAAACTCTGCGGTGGAAGCCACGCGGTGCAAGCTCTGTCGTGTAAGCTGTGCAGTGTGACCTGGAGGTGAAGGCTATGGGGTGTAAGCTATCTGTTGCAAGCTGTGTCGCGTAAGCCATGCGGCCCGAGCTATGTGCTGCAAGCCATGTGGTGAAAGCTGTGTCGTGCAAGCTCAGCCCACGGGGCGCCCACGAGGCGGCACCGGCGGCCACGTGGCGCGACCTCGGCATACTCCCCAAGCGCGGGGCGCCCACGAGGTCCCCACGAGGCGGCACGGGCGGCAACGCGGTGAACACCTGGAAATCTAAACCAAATCCCACCAGCCCTTCAGGGCGTGAGTGGTTTGGGGGATCTCCTCTTCCAGCCCTCTCTCTCGTTTTTTGGCCTCGCAGACTCAAATCTGATCTGAAATCTATCCGTCTTGCCTCCCACGCGTTGGGAGCGTGGACTCGGCGTGAGTGGTTTGGGGGATTTCCTCTTCCAACCCAATTCTTCCCTTCCGGGGAAGAGTCTGTCGCTGTTCCTGATTGATATACGCCCCCAAGCGACCGGGGGCCAACCAGGAACCATGCCGACGCCATGACCACCCGCCCTCCACCATCCCTATCAAACAAAAATACAAACCGCACTCTGCCTCCACATTTGGAGCATGCACGGCCAATCCGATGCGGCCCCCCCACCATCCCTGTCAAAAACAATGCAAAGTACACTTTGGGGCAAAGTCTCAAATTATTATCGTGAGGCCCGCGAGCACTTCGTATTTTTTTGACAAGGGCGGCAGGGGTGTCAGCATATTCCCTGCTGTGCGCAAGGCTACCATCCCTGACAACAAACAATACAACATGCACCTCGCGGCTAAATCAGGATCATGCGTGGCCGTGTCAAGTGGTTTTTGACAGGGGCGGCGGGGGTGGTGGCGCGTGGCCTGCTTTGCGCAGGCCCAGCAGACACAATGATTGGCATCGGTTTTCGACAAAGATAGCGAGGGCCGACATGTTTCCCGATGTGTGCTGTCACGTGCGCAGGCGCACCTGACGCACTCTGCGCGTGCCGTGAACGCGGCGCACCTGGCGCGGCTGGAGTGTGCGGCACACCTGGCGCACTCGGAGCATGTGGCGCATCTGGCGCACTAGGCGTGCATGGCACGCTCGGGCCCCAGGGGTGCCTGGCGCGCGTGGCGCCCCTGGCACGCGTTTCGCACCTCGCCCAAGCGTCGCGCACCTGGGGTCGGCTTTGGTTCCCAGTAGCTGTCCATCCAAAGACGACCGCTGAACATGCTCAGGCTCGGGTGTCACTTATGTGTAGGGAGGGCGGGTGGGAGTGAGCTGGACGGCTTGCGGGCGGGTGTGTGTCTTGATCCCTCACCCTACCGCCTCCCCCTGGACCTGGACGGGGGGAAGGGTCGCGACGAGCTGGAACGTTCAATATGGCCCAATCTGGTGGTCCCAAGAAGGCTTTCGAGAGCCCAAGATGACCTCCAAGATAGCTCAAGGTACTCCAAGATGGCTCCTAACATACTCCATGGGGCTCGCAGACCGCTCCAAGACGTCTCCAAGTGGCCGCGGAGCCTCCCAAGGATGCCCCCAAGAGGCCAACATCCTCCAGACACCTGAAACAAATGAATGATTCGGCCCTCTGGCCCTATCGCATCCGAGGGCTTTCCGATACCCCAAGCTGGCTCCAATAAGGCGCGCCCCAAGAGCGCCCCAGGAGGGCCCCAAGAAGCTACCTTGCGGGCTTCGGAAGGGGGGACGCTATGTTGACCCCTCTCTCTTTTATCCACACACGCATTGAACACACGCATACACACACACGGGTCTTCAATATCTTTGGCTCTTCGGGAGTATCATTCGGATGCTTATGGCCCATGGGGGCTCCAGGGTGCAGTATCTTGCCTCCAAAATGCAGCAATCTGGTCCAAATCGGCCCACGATGGCTTCCAATACTGGGAGCCGGCGGTAAACCGTCAACCTTGGTTACCGCCGGGAACTCGTAGAGCTTCCTCGTGGAATGCGGGCGCGGCAATATCGCATTCCGCGCGCGAAGGTCCCGTTTCATGGGGGAGGACGTGGAGGAGAATAAGGAGTGAGGAGGAGAAGGAGTGAGGAGAAGGAGTGAGGAGATGAGATGGAGAAGGAGGAGGACAAAAAGAAGCAGGCGGAGGAGAAGGAGGGGGAGGAGGAAGAGCAGGATGACGAGCAGGAAGGGGAAGGGTGCAGAGGGTGAAGAGGAACGATGATGATGATGAATATGAGAAAGATGGGAGAAGGAGGAAGAGTAGGAACAGGAGGAGAAAGAGGAGAAGGAGCAGATAAAGAAGGAAGGAGGAGGAAAGGGAAAAGAAGGAAGAGGACGAAAAACAAGAGTACGAATAATTTTTTGGTTTCAGCTCTGGTAGCAAGCCGGATTCAAACATGTAGATACTTGCAACGAGCGCTAATGATCATATTCGTCCAATTGCTCTGCCGAACAGCTCTAATCTCATCTGCAGCTCGAGCTACATCAAGAAAAGGCATCGTCATCTCTAAAGAAATTACTAGAGTACAAATAGTTTGTTGGCTCCAATTCTGGGAACAGACCGAATTCGGGCATCTGGATACTTGATACTCGGGCTTCTGGTGACGCCCTTCCGATTACTGTGCCAAACAGCTCTGTAGCTCATCTGCAGCTCGAGTTATATCAGGAAGGTCATCATAAACTCTTGAGAAACTTGGCAGGGTACACGTAGTTTTCGAACCCAGCTCTGGTAATAGACCGAGTTCGGGCATCTAGATGCTCGAGACTAGCGCTTCTGATCATTTCCGTCCAATTGCAGTGCCAAAAAGCTCTGTTGATCATCTGCAGCTCGATTTACATCAAGAAACTCATCATCATCTCTGAAAAAATAGCAGAGTACGAATAGTTTTTCAAACCCAGCTCTGGAAGCAGACCGTGCTCGGGCATCTAGATACTTCAGACTAGCGCTTCTGATGATTTCCATCCGATTGCTGTGCCGAACAGGTCTGTAGCTCATCTGTAGCTCGAGTTACATCAAGAAACTTATCATCATCTCAAAAAAGTAGCAGAGTACGAATAGTTTCTCGTACCCAGCTCTGGTAGCAGACCGAGTTCGGCCATCTAGATACTTCTGATTAGCGCTTCTGATGAGTTCCTTTCGATTGCTGTGCCAAACAGCTCTGCAGCTCATCTGCAGCTCGAGCTACATCAAGAAACTCATCATCCTCCGCAGAAAAATAGCAGAGTAGGAATAGTTTTTGCGGACCCAGCTCTGGTAGCAGACCGAGTTCGAGCATCTAGGTACTCCAAACTAGCGCTTCTGATGATTTCCTTGCGATTGCTGTGCCTCACAGCTCTGTAGCTCATCTGCAGCTCGAGTTACATCAAGAAACTCATCATCATCTCTAAAAATAGCAGAGTACGAATAGTCTTTTTCGGAGCCAGCTCTGGAAGCAGACCGAGTTTGGGCATCTAGATACTTCAGACTAGCGCTTCTGATGATTCTCTTTCGATTTCTGTGCCGAAAAGCTCTGTAGCTTATCTGCAGCTCGAGTTAAGTTCAAAAAACCGAAAGCACCTGCCAAGATGACACTAAACAGCCGATCCCGCCTGAGTGCTTTTTGGCAGTAGTATGTACCCGATCGACCTGAGATTCGGATGGCGAGCGGGAATAAGATCGAATATGGGGGGACAAAATACTAGAGCTCCAACGAATGTTCAAATTTCGAGAAATTCAATTTCAATAGGCCAAAAGAGCAAAACTTCCGTCGATATTTTTTTGCCAACTAGCCCCCCAGCGCGCCGGAATTACTCTCTAGCTTCGCCGCTAACGCTCTTAAGGAAGCTCTACGAGTCATACCTCCAAGATGCCTCATGACGGCCCCCATATGGCTCCAAGTGGCCACGGAGACTCCCAAGGAGGCCCCGAAGAAGCCAACATCCGTTCAACACCTGAGGGCGAGTGACCTAACCCTATGCAGTTGCGAGTGCCGTCGTTGTGAGTATCGCCTTCGATGGATCTCCTTATGATGCCACGAAGCCTGTGAATGGTGTGCTGAAATGGGGCGGGGTGGCCATGCGGGTGCTGCCGCTGGGGCTTTGAATGGGGCCCCCTATGGGGCCACATGGGGCCCCCTATGGGGCCACAAAGCGTGTGAGGGTGTGCCAGAATGGGGCGGGGCTGCCATGCGGGCGCTGTTGCTGGGGCCCTCGGGCCTTCGGTGGAGCTCCCTATGGGACCGCGGCACGTGGCATGCGGGTCCTGGTACCGGGGCCTTCGGCGGAGCTCCCTATGGGGCCACCAAGCGTGTGGGGTGTGTGCCGATATGGGAAGGGGCGGCCGCGTGTGGACACCGCCACTCGGGCCCTCGGTGGAGCTCCCGATTGGGCCACGAAGCGTGTGAGGGGTCGGTGGAGCCCCCTTATCACGGAATGAGTGAGGGGTGTGCCGAAACGGGGCGGGGCGGCCACGAAACGTGTGTAGGGTGTGCCGAAATGGGCGCGGCGGCCGCAAACTA